ATGATCGCATATCTTATGGTGTAGAAATTTGATCGCTGGGTCGTCCTAGCTCTAGCTTTGGGTTGTGTACTATTCCTAAAACTCCGGCCTTTACCGACTTCTCCTTCACTAAGTAACCATGGTCTGAAGATCGCAGTTGCTGTGTTTGACTCACTTAACCCCCTCCGATAGACTTGCTTGACTTGCAGTTTTCTTGCATTGACGTGTTTTGTGTGAGTAAACTTATCCTTCTGACCGATTGCTCTCTCTTGCCACCTCGTAGGCGTTAATTACAAGTACCAGCTTTGGGTCGTAAAAAACTCCCAGTGAACGCCACGTGCAATTTCTCGCCCGTCTAGTAATTCATATTGTTTAGGTTTGTATTGTTCCTCCAGTGTCGTTTTTACGCTTCCCTTTAGTCTCGCAATGGCGTAATGTGTCGAGGTACCAGAAAAACTTACCTTTAACAGTCTCATTCTATTTTCTTGGAGCTCAAAAATTTATTTCCCGCATGGCGTGTGGACTTTATGACCAGGTTATAAAATTCTGATAAATGCGTTTACCCATCTACCTACGCGTCTTTATTCTTCTGTTCACCGTCAGACTGTCAGAACTTAGTACGATGCAGATTGTACTGCACATGGGTCGTTGCCCTTCAATAATCTCAATTTTCCGATGACATAGAATAATGTTTAATGTTTCTTCTAACAATAACACTCGTCATAAACTTGTGGTTTAGCGAAATCGGAAGGCGGTCTGTCAACCAGTGGCTAGACGGCATGTGGCGGCTAGAACAGCCAATGTCCCCAAAAGTCCAGTAATGGAGCATACGTTATCAGCATACACCCAAATAAATTAATTAAGTCCTTCTGGGTGTTTAAGGTTTGGTTAGCTCCCCTTATCTATTAGGCACGATTCCGGCTTACCCCTACATGTGATCATGAAAATTGCTGTCAAAGGAGACTGTGAATAATGAAACCATTTGTAATTTTGAATTTATTTGATATTTGATTGTGCAAATAACCGACCTGGTTCGTCAGCTTAGGTGGCCTCTTGCCAGGCCGATGAGTGAAGTGACTGTGCGATCCCAAAGATCGCAAGAATAGGGCCCCCACTTTTGATGGAGGGGATGTTGGTGATACAGGTAGCAAGGGGCAGTTTGCGGATAGTCGGGGTTGGTCTCACTGGTGATGGAGTTAAAGGAAGTGGTGTCGGCGGTGGTCATCGATATACTCTACGCGGGAATTGGAAGAGGGAGAATTGTACTAGTTATCGACGATGGGGCAATTGGCGGACGGATCACCAGTAGAGAAGGTGCTCACAACCGTGGGGTTTTACGCAGGGGACTGTATATGTGTTGTAGATGTTGAACTTCATGTCGATGGCGGGTCGTTTCACTGCATCCGAAGATGTTTCATGAGAGAACTTTCTGTATAAAAGAGTTTCACTTCGAGTATAATTTGTTGTTGTTTGTTATTGTAATCGTCATTATATCCTTTCCTATGTCACTGGTAAGGACCAAAGTGTATGCAGTGCGGAATCGAGCAAACAGTGAAAAACTACTAATAAGAGTTTTTACTAGTTTTTGTCAGTAACTGGTGTAGAGGGCCAGGGATGTCGGGGTTGGCACACGTCTAAAGGAGTAATTCACGCATATGATTATCCGGAAGTAACGCCAAACGGGGTTGTCAATCACCACAACACGCAATCGTATAAAGATATAGAAGGATAGCGAGATAGTAAGAAATAAGATCCGTTCATATAAAAGGGATGGTAAACAATAAATTCAGTGGGGAGACGACACGGGGAGTTACCAAGAGTTGTACAAATGATCCATTTGAAGTGAGGAGTGATCACAGAATATCAGTTAGATCCCAGTGGGAGTGCGGCGCTGAGGGCAACTGCGGATGAGGACCATGGTGGTGCTGACGGCGAGTTGACTATGATGCGAATGTGACGGCGACACGGAACGGGAATATAATAGTGTCAGCGGAGGAAAAGAGAAGAAAAACCGGCATCATCACCAACAGACGTTCACACCATCCTCATCCAGATCCGCACCAAAAGTGACCTTGGTTCGTTCAAACACCCATGGTTCAGGCTGGCACGTTACACTGGTGTCTTGCAGGAGATAAAACGGCAGGTCCTTGAATGATAGTAGTTCAAAACGGTGATGGGTAGACACAATAGCATGGTATTGTAAGTCTCCCTTTAGTATTACACGGCTAAATACGTACTCTAATGAAGGACTACCATGAAAATAATCACCAAGCAGAAAGAATCGTCCGAGAGACAAAACATTGAGGTGGTCAGGACATCCTAAAATGCTTTATTCTTTAAAAAATATTTGTAGGCTTTAATAATATCAAAGACATCGAGTATTTTTTGTTTCCGAACTTCTTGAATTGGCAAAACGCAAGTTCAACCTAACATATCTCTGCGATGACTAATTAAACCCAGTCGGTAATATACGAGAAACGATACGAAATAAATCAGGCTGTAAGTATTTTACTTAGCAATCGCTATAAGCACTGAGATTCTAATATCTTACGAGGCAGCATACCGACCAAATGCAAAGGTTAGCCGAAATCGCTTTTCATGTTGCTAATTCACAGGATATCGAAAATCTAAACAGGCCGCTTGTAAGTGAGCAGAAAGAGAAACTGACGGATAATTTTAAAAAAAGTGTAATTAATTAAAATCAAACACAGGCAGGTTGATCTGCGTAACCATAAGTATGAATATTTTATTAAAATCTCGTTCTTTTTTTACTTGGGTGACATACTGGCGGATTACGCAAAATCGAAGCAGAAAGCCGTGTGACGGGTTTGGCCGTTGCTCGCTAAAAGTTTGTGTTGCTCAAGTCTTATTCATCCACTATTACCACAGTAATTTAATTCAGCAGGGTACGTGAATTTGGCTGATTTTCGTTTTGTTTTTAATTTCTGTTCGCGGCTCTATATTTTTAATGGTGTATATTTCTTGCCGTCATGCGGTTTTGAGTTTCTTTTGCATTGGTGACTAAGTTCTGCGTACTTGTACTGTAAGATTTGTTATGTCCATGACGAACATGTACCTCTTTAAGAGAAATTTGGTTAAGTACACCCTTGACTACGCTCACACTGCAATTCCTCGAAGAATTCCGATTAAGGTAGATTTTGTAGTCCAGCGACCTGTAGTAGAACATAAGTTCACCATTGCAAGACCGAAAAGCAACTGCCTACGGGAATCTCATAAAATAGGAGTGGACTTATTAACTCATTGAAAACACTGTGTGTATGACTTTTTGTCATTAATTTATCCAAATGTCAGTATTCTGATCTTGCTATAATAATTTTCGATTAAAACGCAGACATAAGTCCCGTACTCCATCATTCCTACCTGTGCATTTGTTAGAGCCGAATATGTTTCGGCTTTGAAAATAGCCAGCTTTTGATTCCATCTGGCCTAGGCAAACCAATTTATCGGAGAATCAGAAGGTAAAAAGAATGGAAAATCATAACAAGTGTCGAGTTGGATTTGCAAAAAAGAGACAAATTAGTTGATTTGGTTATAAGTGGTTTACCTTTCACGCAAACTGCACCTGTTTTGAGGCCTAAGGGAATTGGAATTCGAGACCCCAACGCTATCTGACCCATTGCATACTTCGTACTTGTTACGGCTGCGATCATGCCGGCTTCAATAATGTCACGGACGGTACCTATCCTCGCCTGACGATCCGTGGCAGTAGACCTGGAAAGCCCCACCCATTCTCTTCTCCAGCGACAGAGACCGAAAATCGAACCAAAGAACCGTTTCCATGCATTTGTGAACGATTATTGGCATTAGCAGGGCTGATGCGCCCATTAAATCAGTCAGTGTTTCGTACCACATCGAATGTCTTGTCTCGTGTTCTTTCCGTCTGCTTCTTTTTTGTTCTTACGCCATCATAAGTTGTTCCCCGAGAAGGGCTGGACGTTGAAGTATCTGTGCGTGGCGCGTTGCAAACGAAAAAGCGCCCGCTCGGGAAAAGCCGGGATATATTGAACATTATAAATATTCACGAAAAAGCATGTGCGTCACTAATGCCCATTAACGTGCTTTTTACTATACTTGTTATTGAGCTCCTTTGAGTGCCTTCCCTCGCTGATTGAATTGCCCATTTATATTTACAGGCCCAGATAATCCTCGAACACTTCTCAAACCGTTTCTTTGGAAGAGCAGCCTTTTTTGATGTTAACAGCTAACCCACCCCACCTTCGGTGGTCATGGATTCTACCCCCCTTAAACCGTCGGAGCAGACACAGAGGGCTCTAGAGTCCGCACCGACTAAGGAAGTGCCGCCTGTACTCTCAGCACTACCTCAAACAAAGGCCGTACCTACAGTAGTCATGGATTCTACCCAGAATAAAGGTTCTGATTTATCACCGATACCCGTAGACAATTCGCGTTCACCAGAGGTCCCTTTAGGGACACAGTCATTAGTCGCTAACAGCAGTCCTGGTCCCGGGTCCGGAGCAAATGAAGCAGCCCTGTCAGAATCCCCTAAACCTGCAGATGCTGTTAACGCACCGGTGGTCACGCAGAATTCAGCGAATGAGCCGCTTCTTCAGCCCACCGTCCCCATTCCAGACCGCGAACCACCCATCATACCACCGGACCAAACACAGAGGCCTCCAGAGCCCCTATCTCCTCAGGAACTGCTGTCTGTTCTGTCAGCACTAGCAGAAGACATATCTCCCGAAGATTTTAGCTCGAAAAAAACCTCCGACGATGATGCTGCTTATACCTTCCATCAAGTGCGGCGGATTGCCTTTAATGGTAGAAGTTGCGCTGTCATCACACAAAACAAGAATGGTCCGTGTCCGATGCTCGCGTTGGCCAATGTCCTCCTCCTGCGTGGTGAACTTTCGCTCCCTGAAGGTCTAGAAATCATCGACGGCGAAGAAATCATTGCACGGTTAAGTAATTATCTCTTCTCACAGACCCCTGAGGTAAGGAACTTTTGTGTTAGAACTTTTGATATGCCACGGATTTCTCACAAGCAGTTCATTATCATTTTATTTCTGATATACATAAACTGCAAGCTTGACTCCTAAGTAGTCCACTCGAATTCCTCTGCCCGGCCGCAAGTCATAAGTAGTTGAAAACACATAATGTAAACTTATTCCAGAGAATAGGCCAATACTCGGGCCGCGGCATACTTATTAAAGCAAATGGAATGGCAAGCAATCAAACAGCCAACCGGATTGTTTCTTCATGTTAGCTTTCTAACTGCAACAGAAATCCATTAGAAATAACAGCCGCACCAAAGCAAGCAGTTATGGAATAGTTTAGCTAATTGCTGGTCAGACATACGTCTACAGCTGACTGCACAGGACTCTCTATGCAATTAAGATTAGAGGCGTTGTCCTTGCTTTCGTTCTATTGACCAATGTAATTACAAAAATAGGTAAAGCGTGGGATACGTTGCATTGCCTCCGATTCCTCACCAAATGAGGATATGGCCTGCTATGTTGCACATCAATAATGTTTCAGGGTGACTGGGTTCATTTTCGTGAGCATGTACCTTGAAATTGGACACCAGTGCAAATCTACAATACGCGGCTGCACCATTTAGCTCATGACCTGATTAAATCTTGGTTAGCATTCTAGCATACTTTATTATATGCCATGCCTGTTTGGCCTTTATGTTTCTTGTAGTCTTATCGGACGAAGTAGGAATAATGCATGCTTCGGCGAAAACTGCATTTTGGAAGGATGTGCCAGATGTCCACCATTGATGCGCAATTTCAGAACGGGCAACAAGTTTATTTCTAAGCCCGTAATAATTGCTCGGGTTGCCAGCAAAACGGATCGTGATTGAGGTCTGACCTTCTCAAATAATTTCTGCTTATCTGCGTATTTACCCCTCAACCAACCGTTTGATAGTCACGAACGACGATTCCGATCGTGCGTTATACGGAATGACTTATACAGGGATAACTCGGCACTCAAAACTAACGGTTAGGCTGCTTTGACTCATTCTCAGTGGCTCTCGTATGCACTCTAGTTTTCAGGAGATCCGAAACTCCCTCACTGACGATTATTTATGTGGTCTTAGCGACCCGTAAGTGTGTGTTTGCCGTATGCGTCGTTCGGCCCCCTCAACTACCGAATACCTCTGCAGTCGCTTTTTCTCTCCCGCTCCCTAAGAGAAATGTTTGGGGTAGAACCCAAAAAGGTAGATTTAAATGTGTAAACAACTTCAGTAAGAAGGCTTAACTGCAACTTCTTAGGTACGCTGGTCTTCCTAATTTCTGATGTCGAAGAATTGTCAAGTGTTTTCACGTGGAGAGGATACATTGTTGGGAGACTGGAGTTGTAACTGTTTGAGTCACATCGACAAATCCTACTATTGATGAGTCTATAAAATTCGATCGTTGCCAACGACGAGGTTAACTGTTGTGCCAAAAGGGCCTAGTGATAACCGCGCTTCATAGAGAACCTATACCTATCGACTTTTCTGGGTGTTCTCCTTCGTTTTACTTTACCGGATTCAGCTACTTGCTGCCAGCAAAAGTTTTAAAACACCCTCTGTATTTTTTACTTTGTTTCCTGAATGATTAATTGCCCATCAATTCACCGGCAGTTTGGGACATCTGTGCATATGCCTTTTCGAGCATTTTCTATCGCAGTCTGCTTTTATTTTTTGAGAATTATTTGCATTTGTGAGTTAGTCCTTTTGTTCCTTTACCTCTCACCAAGCCATCACAGTCAGTCGTCTGTTTATTTCTTTAAAGAAACCTAAAGATTCTGTTGCAGGAAGCCAACCATCCTGTCCTTGACCACAAATGCTTATCTATTTTTTCGTCTTTTTACCCTATGCTATGATATTCGCCTGTTATGGATTA